CTGTGTGATTAAATATGTTGGTTCTGAAGTCAGGCAGCTCTGGGTCACATACGTACCCTGTGATTTTTTTTAAAAAAGTATTTTATTTATTTATTTATTTATTTATTTGATACAGAGTCTTGCTGTACAGCTTGGACTCGTAGTGATCCTCCTGTCTCAGTCTCCCCAATGCTGGGATTACAGGCGTGTGCCCCCATGCCTGGTTTTGGTGGCCAGCACTGTGTACTCAGGGTTCTGGGGCCGGCACGGCATATGCTACCTGGGATCAAACCCAGGTCCTTGTACTTGCCACTCAGGCACTTAGACCACCAAGCTATCTCCCCAGCCCTTACCCTGTGATCTTGGACTAGCCTTTTTAACTTCTCTGTGCTCAGGTTTCTCATGTATGTGGCCGGGGGTAATATTTATAAAATTTTTGTGTTGAGGGAACCAAGCAGCTAGCACTTGGAAAAATGCTCAGTATGTATTGAACACTTGCAAAATGTCATTAGTTGGTATTGCTAGTATTTTTTCATAATCTGTAAAGTCTGCCTTCAATAAATACTTAGTGATGCATGAATAAGTATTACGTTGACATGATGGCACATTTTCCCTTTTTTTCCTTCAGTTGGAGAACATCAGTTGACAGGCCATAAGGTGGCAGTTAAAATCTTAAATAGACAGAAGATTCGCAGTTTAGATGTTGTTGGAAAAATAAAACGAGAAATTCAAAATCTGAAACTCTTTCGTCATCCTCATATTATCAAATTGTAAGTATTTTATACCTGATAATGTATGAGAAAATAGTCTTGAAATATTTCTAAAGGAATTTTACACTTATCTTGAGTTGTCTTTACTACAAAAATACCACTTTTTCATACATATTTTCAATGTTGACTGATGAAATAATAAATACTTTGCATGCTCTTGGTTTAGAATTAAGAGGCTTAGTTTCAGATTTGGTACTGTTTTCAAATAATGAATGCAGCCTTGAAAGTTGACTCTTTAGTCTGCACCTTCAAGGACATTTAGCCATTTTCTATTCTAAGGTTGGTTCATTTTTATGATTTTTTTACTTACTTTCCATTAGCATACCAGCATATTTTGTTTTGGGGAAGGTGGAAAGTAACTGTTCAAATTATCCTCCATAGTATATAATTTACAGAACTGCAGATAATTCTGTATTTGCCATTAAGTACAATTTTTGGAAAAGCAAGTGAATGT